CCAGGCCCAACTCAACTGATGAACAATTACTCATTCGAAGAGGTGGACTTTAAAGAGAGGAGACAGAGGGACAGAATTTCAGGAGCAGAATTCTAGATTATAGGGTTTAGTTGGTCACAGACAATGGACAGTGGAGCAAAGGGAATGGATGAATAAAGGAAAGGTGAATGTTGGAGCAGGGCAGGGATTCCGCAGGGTAGTGGGACTGGAGCAGCTTAAAGAGGAGAGATGTGAACACAGAGACAATGCTGTGAAAATCTGAGCCATAACTAGACCAGAAGCTAACGTAGCTCGGTAAATACGAGGACGATGGCAGAGTTGGATTTAGTGCGGGTTGGAATACAGGGAGTGGAGTTTTAACTCAAGAAATTATTCCATTCTTACCTGTGGATCAATAAATTGAAATAAAACAAACGTTAACCTGTTCATAACCTCAATCAAAACAACAACTTGAACTCCTCCTTTTGAAGTCAGGACTCCTACCTCTTGAGTAAACTTTTAATTCCCTGGCCTAAAGTCTCCGAGTTTCAGTATTTTGTTAACTCATTATGGGGCAAAAGCAAGTATAAAGAAGGATCACAGAACAGACAAGGTTTGAGGGGCTGAACGGTCTCCTCCTATTTAGGCGAGACACCTTCGAGTGGTGACGGCACTACATAAATGCAACTTGTTGCTGGAAGGAAGGAGAGAAAGAGACAGGTGATGAGATTTGCTATAGGAAGAACAGAAAATGCTGGAGGAACACAGCAGGTTTGGCAGCATCTGTGGAGGGAAGCAGTGTTAATATTTCAGGTGAATAATAGGTTCTCTCTCCACAGATACCACCAGACCTGCTGAGTTTCTGCAGTACTTTCCTCTTTTGATTTCAGATTTCCAACATCTGCAGTGTTTTACTTTTGGCGTTGTGTTGGGATTTGCTGCCAAGGGAGTGAGACAATGGCTCCACCTGATGGGCAGAAGACAAACTGCACTGAACAAGGAAAATCTCACTGAAGTCGATGAAGTGATGGGAGGGGAGGGGAATCTTCCACTCCTCGAGGCAGTGGAGGCCTTGAGTTGGGTGGGATGGTGGCTTCCTGCTTTCCCATCTCCACCCTCCAAAATTATTTTCTGGACAGCAAGGCCCAAGCTTTATCTACCTGCCACCCCCGCTCCTGGCCCACGACTAACTGGGGCCCTTATGTGGTCAATGAATGGCCACCTTGACAAGCACACATTTATCATGGGAGGTGATAGCCCCATGGGACTAGCACTACACTATTAAATTAGAGACTCTAGGTGATGTTCTGGGGACTCAGGTTTGAATCCTGCTGCGTCAGGTTGTGGAATTTGAATTTTTTTAAAAATCTGGAATTAAGAGTCGATTGATAATCATAAAACCATCACCAATTGTGGGGGGAAACCCATCTGATTCACTAATGTCCTTTAAGGGAAAGAAATCTGCCATCTTTACCCAGTCTGGCCTACATGTGACTCCAGGCCCACAGCAATACGGCTGACTCTGAACTGCTCTCCGTGCAATCATGAAGGTTGGCTTAGACAGAAAAAAACTCACATCTCATGAGTGAATGAATTTTTTAAAATCTGACTGTCAGTTGGGACACTGAGAGAGTCATCGGACCCGAAACGTTAACTCTGTTTTTTCCTTCACAGATGCTGCCAGACCTGCTGGGCTTTTCCAGCAACTTCTGTTTTTGTTACTGAGAGAGGGGGCCTTGATTCTGGGGATGATCTCTCACTCCACACCACCCTGTATGGCTGCACAGAGGGAGAGGGCTTTCCAGAGTGACCCCGTTTCCCTGGCTCCTGATATCCTTGTCCCAATCTCTTCATAACCTGCGCACCAACACCCCCAACCACAAAACTACACCACCGCTCCCCCGCTTTCTCAGCAAGAGAGTGAGGTACCCAGCGAAAATGGAAAATTCCACCCAGCAGCAAACTGAAGTGGTTGGGGAGGGGTGACACAAGTTCAAATTTCCAAACCCTTCAGACAGCAGAAGGAAGCAAGAAAACTCAGAAAGTTGAGGAGCTGTGCTCCTGGAAAGGGGTACGGTTTCGATCCAGTGTTACTGTGTTTTGATTTCAGCAAACAGAAGGAGAGTTTGGAGATGAAATGCATCACAGTTGCTCTGCCACTGAGTCAGAAAGTTACGCCCCACACCCCACTTTGATCATGTGATCTAGCCTGGCGCAGCAGCAGGTTTCTGTGGGATCTTGCCAGACTATTTGTCTCCAACAGTCACCACATTTCTAAGTGAGTCATTGTACCTGGAGTTCTGTCAGAGAGACATGACTGAGCAGGAAACAGGCAGACGAATAGGCTATTCGACCCTCTGGGTCTGTGCAACACAATCAGTTAGATCATGATTAATCTGTAGGTCAACTACATTTGCTCATCTTTGATTAACAATCAATTCGGATAGTGAGAAATGAATGAAAGAAGAGGGAATAAGGTTGGTGGCAGAAAACAAAATAATGATGTGCATTTACAAAGGGAGTACAGTTGCCAACCCTGTTTGGCCATATTCCTGGAGGCTTCATCATGTGACTTCTTGCCTCGAATCACCCTGACCCCAATTGGTTGTTAGATATATCTATCATTGGAATGTCCCATCTTCCCATGTGAATTAGAAGTTGAACACACTCCTTGTTATCCGACTTCTGACTCTCAGTCCGTGAGCCTTTGCATCCCCATCCCCAATTTTTTTTTTTCCTTCTCATGTCTGAATGAATTTTCTGCTTGCCCAGTCTCAGCAGTGCCCTGGAGATTGAGCCTTACCTCTTGGAGACTCAAGGTCATTCCTTGAGGGTCTGCAACCTTAAATGGGTATTGAGTCCACAGGGTTTAAGGTCAGGACTGGAAGACCAGAGCTTTGACAACACTCAAGGTTAAACTCAACACTATCCAGGATAATGCCACCCCCCCCCACTTGATTGGCAGCATATCCACCACCTTCAACCTTCACTCCCTCCACCATCGACCCTCAGTAGCAGCAGTGTGCACTATCTACAAGATGCACTGCAGAAATTCATCAAGGCTCCTTAGACACTAACTTTCAATCCCACAACCACTTCCACCTAGAATCATCATATAATCCCTAAAGTGTGGAAGCAGACCATTTGGCCCATTGAGTCCACACTGACCCTCTGAAGAGCATCCCACCCAGACCCACCGCCCCACCCTATGCCTGTATCCCTGCATTTTCCATGGCTAACCCACCTAGCCCACACATCCCTAGACACTATGGGCAATTTAGCCTGGCCAATCCATCTAACCTGCACATCTCTAGAATGTGGGATGAAACTAGAGCATCTGGAGGAAATCCACACAGACACAGGGAGAATGTGCAAACTCCACGCAGTCACCGAGGCTGGAATCAAGCCCCGGCTCCTAGCGCTGTGAGGCAGCAGCGCTGACCACTGAGTCACAGTGCCACTCCACAAGACAAGACAGATGAGGGCAGCAGATACATGGGAACAGCACCACTAGCAAGTTCCCCTCCAAGCCACTCACCATCCTGACTTGGAAACATACCACCGTTCCTTCACTGTCACTGGGTCAAAATCATGGAATTCCCTCCTTCATAGCAACGTAGGTGTTCCTACACCCCAAGGATTATAGTGATTCAAGAAGGCGGCTCACCATCACCTTTTCAAGGGCAGTTTAGGGACGGGCAATAAATGCTGGCCAGCCAGTGATGCCCAAACCCCAGGAACGAATAATAATGAAGAGAAGAACCTGAAAGTACACCTACCAAGGAGTGAGCTCAAGAGACCAGAATTGGAGGACTACAGAGACATCAGGCGGATGGGAGGGGAGGTCTTGCAGGTGAGGTGGCCAAGGACAGAGCTGTGCATTTACCCACTGAGTCACTGAAAGGACAGAGCAGCAACATCCATGCTGCTCAGGGACATTAGTGGGGCAAATCTGAGCTAATTTGAACAGCATAAGTGCAGACACAACAGAGACAGTGACTCAGACACCATGAAAGGCAATGGGCAGGAGCTGAGGTATTCTGAGTCATATCCAAAACATTGCAAACTGATTTATTCAACTCAATAGGGCAGAGTTTTAAAAAAATACTTTGCACACAGACTGAAATAATGGATAAAAAACAAACCACGGTTAAAAAAGCTAAAAGAAAATCCACAGCAAGTGGCTGTATCAGTAACTGTTGTCACCTAGAATTAATTTATTTTATACAACGGGACGTATTGAGTCGGGAGGAAGGATGATGGGGTTGCAGCGAGCCCAGGGGGTTAGGGGGGAAGGAGATGGGGTTGTTAGGTTGTGGGGGAGGAGATGGGGGTATTGCGTTGGAGAGTAGAGGATGAGGTATTGGGTCGGGAGTGTTGAGTTGAGGGTGGAGGGGATGGGGGTGTTGGGTTGGGTGGAGGAGATGGGGGTGTTGGGTTGGGTGGA